CATGACAGAAGAGAATTATATTTATTGTGTAAATGCCCTGATAATTATTTTACTATAGGAATACATTGAAAATCAGGAAGAAAGGATGTTTTATAATAATGTTCACTCAATGCAAGACGCAAGAGCCACACAAGGTAGAAGGTGACTTTTTATGTATGAACATAAAGAAGGGCAAGAAGTGAAATTCATTGGGCTATGCAGAATAACAGTTAACCCTAGACTTGAAGAGGTCAAGATTGTAATGTTTGGGAAATTATTCTCCAGGCTATCTGTTTCATGAAGCAGCAGTTCTTGAAGAGAAGCTGTCTGTATGGAACTTATTTCTTACTATTGAAATATGAAAGAAATAGGGATGATTCACACTTGTGTACATGGCACGGTGGGACCCAGTTGTAAAGGTCAGGGGTGGTAAGACTAAGGAATGTAGCTCATCAAAACACAGGCAATGGAAGTAGCAGCAAGAGACTCACAATGTCTGTGATAAAGAGATTGTAGGTTGGGAAATGATTCATCACTTATGTCAGTGGTTAGAAGTGAATGCAAGCATTACTGACAGAATAAGGCTATTATATGTATAATGTAAATGCATCACTATTTCATGACAGGAATGTGTTGAGAGTCAGAAAAAAACGGATTGTTAGTAGTCAGAAATTAATACAAGCATTATTGACAGAATAAAGCAATTATATGTAATATAATATTTTATTGACTGTTATATTTTACAATAGAAAGGCACTGAAGATCAGAAAAAAACATGGTTGCCATGGTCAGGAATTAATGCAAATAATACTAATACAATATAGCTAATTTTTTTAAACTTGCTCAGCTTGTAATACCTTTCTTTAAGGTGTTTCTACTTTCATTAATTTTGGTTTCATTTTTCCAACATTATCCATGCATTGTTAGTGGTGCCTCAGTTTCACTGTCTTCATCCTTGTCAATTGTCTGGGATCAAAGGAGAGGGCACATGCCCTTAAAAGATGATTATATAACTATTGTTATTGGACTATGTATGATCAGATCAATTCCGATACCAAAACATCTTGGAGAATAAGCATAAAATACAATATAGCTTTGGTATTTGTTAAATGCATGTCCTTGTCTGAAATATAGATTCACTTCACAGTCTCTACTAACCTTCAAAGCAAGTAATCATTTGAATGCCTCAACCAAATTGATAAAAGTCTTTCTCTCTCTCTTTATAGATATATATGTTGTGCATGGCTATGGAACATCAAACTCATTTACAAAGTATACAACAACATAAATATATAAAAGTTTAAATAAAAAACAAAAGTTTTTCCATAAAACACTTGTATATATATATATATATATATATATATATATATATATATATTTTTTATATTTGAAATTCTTAATACAAAGTTAGCATGTATCTACTTTCAAAAGACTGTGTACAAAAAAGCAGTATGAATTTTTGAACTTATTTGTTTAGTTTGCCTGAATTGCATGTGTCTTGATACCTTGACTTCCAGAAACTAAAGACACTGTTTGACTTTCCTGCTTAATGATGTCTCATGTGGGTCACGTCAAGTCACATGACAGTTTTTCATTCTCATGAATATTTATAGTTAATTTTTATATTTATTTTTATTTTGGTCAAGGGGGAAATAGCTTTTTATCTATCACTATACATATATATATATATATATATATATATGAAATATGGAGACATAAGAAGAAAGAAATCCTGATACTTTTACTTTTGTGATGTTTAATTTTCATTGGTTAGCCAGGTTTCATTTGCATTTGATATATATAAAGAATTAAAGAATTTATTCTCAATGCAATATTTTTATTACTTAAGTGGATACCCATGTTTGAAACTTAAATAAAAATGTTGCATATATTTCAAATACAATTATTCACTAAAAATATATATATATATATATATATATATATATATATGTGTGTGTGTGTGTGTGTATATATATATATATATATATATATATATATAGAGAGAGAGAGAGAGATAATTATAATATATTGTACATATAGTACTGGTGATAATAAAACAGTGCTCAAGCTACTAGGTATATATTAATAAATATACATATTATCCCTCACTGATGGCATGACTCAGCATTTCATGTACAACACAATCTTCAGCTGCTGAGTAGAAACTGACCATTACGTAATTTAAATTTTAATAAAAATATCTAGTTATTGCAATGTTGGCACAGTTATATAATTATATTTGGCATTTAAAATAAAAAAGATTTATATATATATATATATATTTTGAAAAAAAAATTATATTAGAGTTGTGAATATTAGTTTTTTTTATATTAAGCATAAAGGGAGATTATGAGTTCTTTTTTTTTTTAAAAAAAAACAAATTATAATTTAAATTAAAAATTAATCTTGATCAATGTATTTAAGCAGATATTTATTTTTATGCCTACATGTAACCATCAATTCATTTCTCTTGTTTAAGAAAGTAGGGTGATTTAAGTGTTTTAAGATAACTAATTTTTCAGCATAAATTACATCAGACATAATTCCATATATTGCCTTTCTCATTGTAAGATTTGACTCTTGTTACAATATCCTAAGTGATAATAGGTGTATTAGGACCGTTTTTAATTACCAGAAATTTCAGTGGAACCAAAATGAAATTTAATATCGATATATATATATATATATCTATAACATGTCTATTTCAAACAATGGTATTCACTAAAAATAACATTTGAAGTTATAAATATATATATAGTGTGCTGAAAGGATTTTTGACTTGACCTGACACTCTTCCTAAGTCAGCATATTGAATTTACGTAGCTGGTTGAACTCAGAACTTTCCGCAACCCTTGTGCATGTATATATTTCAATTAAATCATATGTATATGCTACTTGCATGTATACACATAGAGAAAGATTCACTCAGTGTATTTTAGTTTGCCACAAAACCACAATAATATGACACACAGTGATCATCAGAACCATTACATTCAATGGAATATGGTGTTAAAAATCAGCTCATTGACCATTACTCAATACTAGATCTATTCTCTCTCTCTCTCTCTCTCTCTCTCTCTCTCTCTCTCCATATATATATATATATATATCAACTGATTTAAAATATGTTTTTTTCGCTACACAGTAATAACCATATTTCAAAAATGGAAGCTAAAAGCTTCAAATTTAATTTTGTAATTAAATTAAAAACATTAGTTCCATTTGATCCTCAAGCGAATTTTGGAGTAACTTATTTTTTAAATTTACTGAGTTTATGGTTATTACTATGTAGCGAAAAAAACATATTTTAAATCAGTTAATTTATAATATTAATGCTCTGTAAATTTACATTGAGCACTATTTTGTAAAAATAAAAATAAAAATATCAATAAGAACACCGGATTACATATCTTACTGTTCTTTCTTTTTATTTATATATATATATATATATATATACATTCAACTCTCCCATCATATTCAATGTATGAGGGTCAAGCAGATCAGTTCCTAGGAACCAAGAGCCTGACACCAGCACATGTGATTTTATATTATAGTGGTAAAGGTTTTGTGCAGAACCATCCACACTTTTTGAATGGCTGAATACAGAGACCTGGTGCACTACATGCCACAAGGTCCCCAAATGACCCTCCACAAGATTTGAATTCAGAGTTGTCCTCCTCCTAGAACTAGTTGCCATCCAAGATTATAGAACCCAGTCTGTTTGTCTATTTACCCATAGCTGGAGGGACAAAAAGAGGATTCATACCTTTCCCAAGGTTATTAGCACGTAAGTGAATGTAATGGATTAGACTGGAATTCGAACCTGGCTCTCTGATTCCTCAATCCAAGCCACTATCTATTACTCCCTCATGTCTCTGCTCTCTCTCTCTCTCTCTATCTATCAATATATATATATATATATATATATATATATATATATATATATATATATATACAGCTGTTCACTGTATCTCCTGCCAGACAATGATTCTCATTATACCAGAAGAATATCTTAATTTCATCTATCATCAACTCTTTCTTCTCTTGTCTCATTTTCCTTGAGATCGTCTCATACACTTGATCTCACTAATGATTCTCTCAATATCTTTCACTTTGAATTAGTAGTCTCACTCCAGTCATATTTGTTATTAACTTTCTCTATATACATCTCTTTTCAACTTGGGTCATTCAAGAAGAAGACATGTCCACTCCACACAGACGATTGGCCCAATACAGTTCTTCTCCTCACATTTCTCTTGATTTTCCATGTGTTGTAATAACCAATGGATGTACAGTGGTGTAATGGATAGTTTGTTCAGCCTGAGGAATCAGAGAGCCAGGTTTGAATTCCAGTCAAAATGATGACATTCACTTATATACCTTTGAGACAGGTATGAATACATTTCTCTTTTCTCCTACCCAAACTATGCATAAACAGCATGACAGAGTCCTTTTGCCTCGATTGACAACCAGTCTACAGGAAGAACAACTCTGAATTCAAAACCTGAGTAGTTGTGTGGTCAAGAATTAACTGGTTTCCTCACCATTTTTTGGTTTGGCGAGGAAGTGGAACCCCAGCAATACAAATAACAAGAATTAGTTAAAAGTTAGAATTAGTTAAAAGGTGGATGAACTCTAACAGCCATCCACCCCCTACTGTGGGTTAAATAACTTCACCACCTCCAAAGACATAGTCAGGGAGGAGATCCTCTATCAAGACTGAGTAGGCCCTAGATTAGGATTTGGATTTTTACTTGCTTAGTAAATATGAAAGATGGACAGGTCCTCCCAACATGGAAATTTGATTGATTATTAGTTTTCTATGTTTCATAAACCCTTTTCAGGTTATTTAAAGCCAGAAATATATGTCCTACTAATTAACCTATAGCTGGGGGGGAGAGGAGGTGAATTCCTACTTTCACCAAGAGTATTTGCAAGTAAGTGAATATAACGTAATTGGAACTTGGCTCCCCAATTAACAATTCCAAGACATTATACATTACACTACCCACACATCCAAGGCACCTCATATTCCCAAGTGGTCACCCATCTCAGTACTGATCAGGTTCAATGTTGCTTAACTTTGGTGATTGTTTGGGAACTGCTGTTTCAACATGATATGGCTATTAGCCTTGGAAGTTTGGCATAATCTTCCATATCTCCATTTTTCTTCTAATTTGTTTGGTGCTATACCAAACTAAGCTTAATAAATATCATGGCAGAGAGGCTTTCACTGCTTGAAAGGTTGACGCAACACAATCTTCCTTATCTCCAGTTCTCTCTTTTTCAAGATGACAGATACTTCAATTGTTCAAAATGGACTGGATTTAAGAAAGAAAAAAGTATTTGTAAAAAATTACAAATGGTATTTATTTTTATCTTCTTTCCACCTTGTGTTTTGTTCAGCAACCATTTTTGTTTCTTTTTATTTTTTAAAATACGTGAAACGGCAAAAATTTACCGAATTTATTCAGTGCTAATCTGCATTATTTGTTCAGATTGCTGACTTTGCATTGGATTCTTGTGAAGTGGAGACAGTGGCTGACAGAAGCAGAAACTTGTGATCACTTTGCATTGTATCTCAGTGTGACTGCCGATTATGGACAGGAATAGAGAGAGAGAGAGAGAGAGAAAGAGAGAGAGAGTGTGTGTGTTTGTGTGTGTGTGTGAATGCCATTCAATGCAAATTGAGAAATAAATAATTCTATCCTCATAATTATTGATTTGCCTTTGTAATAAACCTTAGCTGAACAACTCAAAGATTTTGACAAGGTCTTTCCAGATCTATGTAACTGCATTAAAAATGTAATACGTGATAAACTAGTGTAGTACCTATGTAAAGCAAGCAGAGTTTTATTTTAATTTTAACACCTCCAAAATGAAACTACTCTCTTTTAATCATCGGAGAGAACCTTTTTTTACCTGCCATCTGCATGGCTGATGCTAACCTCCAGGAGAATGTATTAGTTTACCATTTACCCTTGATTTGAATATTGCTACCACATCTGTTTTGGTATTCCTGCTATGTATTTAAAAGTTCTTGATAAAGTCCAAAGAAAAATCTGCAATTGGTCCTGAAATGGCATCACAATTTTAATCACTTTCCCATTACATTAACATAGCTTCTTTGTGCCTTTTTTTATAAATATTTTCATGGTAATTGTTGTGATGAACTTTCCTCTTTTCTACCTAGACTTTATGAATTTAAGTACAGTACTAGATTGGCAGCTAGGTCTCATCATTTTACAGTTGAAATTGCTAGATGTAACTAGTTCCATAACAGTAACTTCTAGCATACTTCTTGTCTGTGGAACTCTCTTCTGGCTTCTAACTTTCCAGTCAACTTTGATCTTCAAAAATTTAAATTAAATGTCAATTGTTATCTTTTGTTTTCTTAATTCCTGTTCTTATTATTTTTTCTTATTATTTCACACTCAGTAGCCCCTTGCATCTTAGTGCCTTTCTTGAGATGAAATGCTGAAAAGAAAAATTTGAAAATTTATCACAAAATCATAAATAAGTAAATAAATACTACACTGATTGAAGATAAAGTTACAACACCATGAAGTACTATGTAAATTTTAGCCTGGTTACACTATGGGTATAGTGGTGGGTAGCAGATGTTCTGGTAAAATCTCCAAAACCTTCAGCTATCTTGTGATATAGTAACAATCACCCCAGTACATCATCTGTGTCTGAGCTTTAGAGAGCGACATGTTTTGATGAGGTTCAGTAAGATGCAAAATTCCAATGGAAGTGAAGATCATGTTATAGATACACTTGTGCTCCTTTTGTTCAATTAGACAAGGGGTGGCATCTGATGATTAACCTTCAAGAGACTAGATGGTAATTTTGACAAATTGGAAAAACTTGTTGGCTGTATTTTATTTTCTAAAAATTAAATGCAATGTCAAATGTTATCAGTTGTCTTCTTAATTATTGTTCATTTATTATCGTTCTTTCTCCTTAATAATGTTTTTCTTTTTCACATATTCATTCACACTCAGTAATCACTTGCATCTCAGGGGCCTTATTGCCTTGCTTGGGATAAAATGATTAAAATAATGATTAAAAAAAAGAAAAACTAAAAAGTCATGCATTTAGATTAAATTTGTTTGAAATGTCTACTTTGTTCTTTTTTCTCTTAAATACTATTTGTCAGAGAAATATAGATATATTTAAATCCATATCCAACAGATCTTATTTATAGTCAGGTCTTATGTCCAAAATATTAGCAAATTATCTAACATTGTTGTTCACATTTGGATACAAAACTGAGCAGATATGATAATTTCAAGGAATCTATATTGAGAAGGATTTCTTTTAAAAGCATTTCAGACAATGCTTATTTGGTAAAGCTTCTTTGTGGGTGAGACAGTTAAAGCACATCAGATCTAATGACAGTTTTCCTCTACCCAGGGAGATGCAGGTTCAAATTCCACTGGAGTGTGCATATTTTTCTTGAATAATATTTCTCAAATATTCAGGCTAGTAGATAAAATGAATAAACATACTGTTTAATAAATAAACAGAGTGTTGTATTGATATGCAAATCTCTACCATATAAATAGTAGTTGATACAGCTGGGCACTAAATTAATCTTAACCTTGTAGAAAAAAAACTACTAGAGAAATATCAGTGAATAGAATATTGTAAACTATAATTACTTAAAAGTGACTCACTACTATTTCTCTAGTAGTTTTGTCTTCAAGGTTATCAACTTGGATATGAATACATGGAGTGTCTACTTAAATATGAGTATCCACTAAAAATAAAAATTAAAATGATAAATGTTTTCATCTTCCCTACAAGTATCAGTTTTATGCAATATTCCATCAGCATTATAAATGTGGAAAAATGAATTTTACTTGAGTTTACTGGAAAATATACCCAAAATAAAGTTCAGGGGACATTGCAAAAGATTAAAAAACTGTTAAATGCTTTATTTACCAATAATGATTACTACTCAGGTCAGGTCAGAATTAATCCCACTACTTGTGACATGTAACCCAGTAGAACCTACAGAATGGACAGCTGGTTGGCAATAGCAAAAGATTCCTCCCCAAAACAGGTGTAAGGTTACAGCAATAGGCTGATGCCTGTATAGGTAAATCAAGTTCATATCATACAGATATGTCGAAGCTAGATGAAATGTCAGTTTCAGTGGGTGATCATCAGGATGTAAGCATAGTGCCGAGAGTTGACCTATTTCTTGTCCTGGCCTGGCTGAAGTCATAGGATATGGTCAGTGCACATTTGGTTGACCGAGGTCATGCTTCTAGGTCATTTTTGTTGGTTGGTAGACCTGATGCGTTGGACCTGGGTGATGTCAGATGGGCATGGTTTTGGTAGGCCTCTTCTATGGAATGGAGGTTGTGGTGTTGACTATGAAGGGAATGCCTTGTAAACAAGTTGAAACGAGCCAAGGTGATAGCGGGGGCTGGTAGACTTGTTTTATGGAATGGAGGTCACAGCGGTAGACTTGTTGTGTTAAATCAGGGTCACATTGGAATGGCATGGTTTTGGTAGGCCTGTTCCATTAAACTGAGGTGATGGTGTTGACTGCCTTGTAAATGAGTTGAGGTAGGCTGAGATGACTGTGTGGGCTGGTAGGCCTGTTTTATGGAATGGAGGTTGTGCTGTCAACTGCAAAGGGAATGCATTGTAAATGAGTCAATTCAGACCAAGATGATGGTGGGGACTAGTAGGTCTGTTCTATGGAATGAAGGTTGCTGATCAAGGTCATGGTGGATGGTCAATTTCTGTTGGTTGATATTTGCTGAGGTGACATCATCAACAATGAAGGCTTGTAGCTGGGTAGTGTTGAGGTTGGATAGTCTGCCACTTGTGGCTGGTGTTTGCAGCTGGGAGCAGTCGAGGTTGAAATGTTTTCAAGTCAAAGCTAGATAGTGAAGGTGGTTGGTCAATCCTAGAAGTGGTGATGGTCATTGAGAGGTGTGGCCATGTTGAGTAGTGTTGACAAAAGTGGCAGCCATGGCAACAACAGCAGCAGTGCCCTGCATGACAGCCAGTGGAACTTTGATGGTTGTTCTCAGAGACCTGCTTTTAGTTGCAGTCCCCAGAGGCATCTCTTTTTCTGGCAGGAATGTTCAACTGGCTACTGCCAGAGATCACTTCATAGACCAGATGTGATGTGTGGAGCCTAATGCACAGAAAACAACTTTTTATTATTTTGTTTTCTACCTTTGTGGTGTTCACATCTGGTAAGCATGCAGAATGAATCAGAAAAAGTTCTAATTGCAATGGAGTATAACATATGTAATATCAATCCTCCTATAAATAGGAAGGAGTACTTTTGTAGCAACTATCAGATTACAAGGCAGTTGTATCTTAGGTTCAAATTTGCACATGTGAATACTGAAACAATGTTACAGGAAATATATGATTTTATACATGTTTATATTAAATATATGTGGTATCAATTGGTCTCAAGTGACCATGGATATTGTGACCAAAGAGTTATACCTCAGATTGCAGTGCAGCTTCTGTTATGGCTGTACAGGCTCACATGCAAGGGACAGTCTTGATTGCAACAAATGATTATGAAGACACTCTCCTCTGATGTCCTCCTGTTTTCTTACCATCAAGCAGTGGCAAACCTATTTCACTCCTCCTCACTCCAGCCCTCAGTGTAAATCATATCTCCAGCAAGAGTAGTGATATCCTCTCCTCTCAAAGTCCATGCCTATCACCCTTGTGTCCATGTGTTGGTTGCCAACTCTCTATACAGAAAAACTTCAGAATTCTCCCATCTGGCATACGGTACATATGTTCAAGCCAGTGGAACCGCTATTACTGGAGAAGGCCATATAGGCTGGGTAACTGACCACAGGTGAAAACTACAGCATTGGTGACCTAGTCAGAACTCTTGATGCCCAGAATGCATCTCACAGTAAGGATAAAAGACACTGAAAATCATTCCCATCTATAGTAATGGCTCCAAGTCTTGCTGCTGTAGAGCAGCATGTTGACAACACATATCCAATAGACTTTGCTTTTAGTATTCATAGTAAGCTTTCTTTCCTCCCTGACTCTCAAGCTGGCAAATGTGGTGACAGCCCATCCAACCCATCTGTTGACATCTAGGGAAAGAGATCCTTATA